TGCAGCTCACTAGGCTAATCCTCCGCCTGCGGCGCTGGCACCCCAAGTTCTAGTTCCGGTCGGGGCACCAGACTCTGTCCCAGTCGCTCCTCTTCTTGTCCAGCTCTCTGCTGTGGCCCGGGAGTGCAGTGGAGGATGGCCCAAGTCCTTGGGCCCTGCACCTGCATGGGAGACCAGGAGAGGCAGCTGGCTCCTGGCTGCAGTGGCCATTGGGGGGTGAACCAACGGAAAAGGAAGACCTTTCTCTCTGTCTCTCTCTCTCACTGTTCACTCTGTCAAAAAAAAAAAGTGAAAAAAATAAAGTTGTAAAGCACTTGGGCCATCTTCTACTGCTTTCCCAGCCCATAGCAGAGAGCTGGATCAGAAATGGAGCAGCCGGGACTCAAACCGGCGCCCTTATGGCATGCAGGCAGTGCAGGCGGCAGCTTTACCCGCTACACCAGAGTGCCGGCCCCCAGGTATTTCATTATAGTCATGAAAATTTGTGTAATACATCCTGTTTTTCTTTTTAAGAATAAGAATTCTTGAAGTCTTTAGACAACTTTTTTTTAAAGATTTATTTATTTGAAAGAGTTACAGAGGAGAGGCAGAGAGGGAGAAAGAGAGATCTTCCATCTGCTGGTTCACTCCCCAAATGGCTACAATGGCCAAGGCTGGGCCAGGCTGAAGCCAGGAGCCAGGAGCTTCTTCTGGTCTCCCACATGGGTGCAAGGGTCCAAGCACTTGGGCCATCTTCCACTGCTTTCCTAGGCACGTTAACAGGGAGATGGATTGGGAGTGGAGCAGCTGGGGTTTGAACTGGCGTCCATATGGGCGACCAGCGTCACAGGTGCAGCTGCTCAGCTTCCCGGAGACCCTGGTGGCCTCAGAATCAGGACAAAGTGAGCGCACCTGTGCCCTGGGCCGTCCCTCAGCCCAGCTGCTCAGGACCCAGAGGGTGACTCACCTGGAGCCCTGCATGCTGACAGCGTGCCCGCCCCTCCCAGAAGCCTGTGCCCCCAACCCTGGAGACTCGAGTGATGCCCCTCAGACCCAGACAACGCCAGGGCCTGCCTGGCCGGCACTCAACATTTCCTCCCCAGCTTCCTGCCCCCAGCCCGGGCAGCTCCTGCTCCTACCCAGCAGGGTGTAGGGGAGCCTGCCAGGTCTGGGGAGGAGCCTGGGCTTGGCCTCTTGGGCTGTGTGACTCCACCCAAACACTGCAGCCTCCTCATCTCCACAGCAACCTTCCCCGTCCTGAGCAGTGGCTGTAAGGACACACGGCAGGCACCGTGGGGTCGCAGGGGGCCTCAGTCCCAGGTGCCAACTTCAGTCTTTCAGCAGCGATTTACGGGGCACTTCAGGCACGACAGGCCGAGGGCCTAGCCCCCCAGCCACGATGCAGAACCAGACCCTAATTGGAAACAGGGTCTTGGCAAGTTGAGGTGATGCCAGCAGGGGGAGCTCTAATCCGACTTGACAGCATCCTTCTAGAGGGGGAATCTTGGCCACAGACAACACGTGAAGGGGAGATACTGCAGAGACGGAGACAGAGAGTGGAGTCAGGTGGTCATAAGCCAGGGAACAACACGGGAGCTGCCAGAAGTGGAAGAGGCCGGGAGGGTCCCGGCCAGCGCCTTGACTGTGGGCTCCAGAACCACAAGTCTGCATACTTCTGCTCTAAGATCCCCCCCCCCCCCAGCTGTGATGCTTTGCTCTGAACATAGAGAAGATCGCCCCGTGCTGCCGATGACAATGCTGAGGCTCACGGGGTGGTGCTGGGAGGCTGGGGGGCTTGCACTGGTGGGCCCAGGGTACCGGGGTCACATAAGGGTGTGGGAGACGTGCTGCCTGGGGGAATGTGCGGGGTCCGAAGACCCAAAGATGACCAGACAGAGCCTACAGTGCGGCTGCCCCCAGCCATGCCGCCAGGCGCTGGGGCTGGCCGCGGGCTGGAGGCTTTCAAGCTGTTCCGAGCTGACGGGTTACCGGTACACAGGGAAGACTGCATTGTTCAAGTCCGGTATTACCTCAGTCAAGAGGCAGACAAATGGGCCACTTCCTGGCTGTTAGGACAAGTTACTCGGTCTCTCTGACCCTGCTTCCCACGGAACAGTGCCAGAGCTGGCAGAGTTGGTGGGAGGAAGGAGTGAGGTGGACTGAGTGGCAGCACTCAGCTGGGGTGCTCAGGAGGGGACGCCTCTGGGGGAGGGGATACGGGTCACCCTTGATCAATCAATAGTTGACACTGAGACATAGGAGTTGGAACAGCTGAGTGGGTTTCGGGGCAAATCCTACTCAACCCACAGCAATGAGACGTCATTCACTCGTTAGGATGGCTGTGACCAATGGCTGGCCAACACCTGACTGTTGGGAGCTGGATCATAAACCAGACTTGAACCCAGGCACTCCGATGTGGGATGTGGGTGTCCCAAGCGGAGAGGCTTAAGCCACTGTGCCAAACGGCCACCACCGGAGAATGGAAGCTCAGAGCAAGGCCCACGGCCTCCTCTCTGTTCATGGTTTAATTATTTTAACAGCAAACTTACAGGGAGGGCACAGAAGACACTGTTAAAAACACGCTCGCGTGCAGGACCAGCTCGGTTAGGTGAGTCTAGTGAGTGATGGGATCCACTGTGTGATAAAAACGCTGCCATCAACAGGAAATGCACTTGCTTTCAAAAGCCCCGGGTGCTGGCACTGTCCAGAACACATCTACTGGTTTATGTATAATTCTTACAAAGCTGGGCTGCTGGAACTCGCTCCCTGGAGCAGCCTGATTTGCACGCATGCTTTCTGTCCCCGTGTTTATATTAAAAATCCACATATGGATGAAAATGGAAAAATTGCCAATACCTAACTCCTGTCCCCTGTCTTTCCACTCACAATCACCCCACGGGACAAAAATCAAAGCAAAACAAAAAAACTAACAGTCTGAAAGCCCAGTAACAGGAAGAAGAGAGAAATAAAATGTTTTTGAGAAGGAAATGCTGCCCATCAATAGTGGATTCGTAAGCACATGCGTGCCACGTGCTGGCTGCACGTCTTTGACTTCACGGGTAGCCGCTGGCACGGGTAGTACACGGGCTGGTGTCTTCCAAAAGGCTGACCTGACAGGCCCCACGTGCCCCTGCACCCACTGCTGCACTCTGGAAGCGTACATCTGTTCTGGAGCCCCGCGCAAGCTCTCCCACCACACGCTGCAGGTTTGCGACTGGCATCTGACTTCACCGTCGGCTGCAGCACCAGACCTGGAACGATGAGGTTGCTTCATCCCGCCTGCAGAGGGCGCACTCTTGCGAGCGGCTTTTGTAGCCAGTCACTCCCTGGGTGCCTGACCACCAGTGGATTTGTGGGTGGTCAGCTTTGAATGAGCCACGGCACCTCCCTACTTACCCCATTCTCCTGCGGCTGGAGCTCGGGAGCTGGAGGCGGCGCTGGTGTCACAGAGCCATGGCAGTTATGGACAACCCCTCCCCTGTGAACGTGAGGAAGAGGTGGGACTGTCCCAGAGGAAGTCAGGGCCAGCTCAGGCCAGGGCCTGATGCCCGAGCCATGGCTTCAGAATGAACAGGCGTGGCCAGGCCTGGTAGGTTGGTCACAGGCTGAGCCCCTCTTGGCTTTAATCTAGACCCAAGCTCTGTGGCCCGGCTCTGCCCTCGGCCCTCATCTGGGTCCAGGCAGTCCCCATCTCCCCGCGTGACAGCCAAGGCCCTGGGGGCCCACGGTGATGGTGAAGAGCAGGTTCCTTCCGAGGCACGGGGCAGACGCGTCAGGGGTCCCAGGACAGCCCCTTCGTGGCCAAAGTCCTCTCCCCTCCCTGGCAGTCTTCTCCCGTGCACTTAGGCCATCGCCATAGCCCAGCTGACTCCAGGGAAGCCAAGACACACAGAAGGTTGGGTCTGAGGGTGACACGGAAATGAGAGTGAGAAAGAGACAAATGCGGGGGTGGGAGGGTCGGTCCCACAAGTGGGAGAGGTTCTTACAGGGTCTGGAGGTCCCCATTCACCATACACACATGGGCCAGGCTACTTTACAGATGCTGTTAACAAATGAACAGGAGAGGCCCCTTGTTCACCAACCATTATGAAGTTCAAGCTAGCAACAACAGGGCGAGAAGCCAAGCACGTGGCCCTTCTGTACATGGGGCAGCCTATGATCAGCCAAGGTCGCAAGCCAGAGAGACTCAGACTAACTGTCTGAGTGAGGGTCCCTGCTCCTCACCCTCACCTCCACCCTCCACGCTGTGATGCACAGGGGACGAGTGAGGAGGGACTGGCAAACCCGTCGCCCAAGCAGACCTCAGAGGAGGGCAGGCCATGGCGGCCATGAGATGGAGGGACACAGACCCCGGGACGAGCTGCTGGGCGGGACAGGGAGTGTGGGGAGAGGCAGGAGGGCTGAGGGGCTGGTTTATGGCTCCACGCGGATCAGTCGCTGGCGGTGGTGCTCATGGAGGGAGCAGCGGCTGGCAGAAGAGCAGGCTGTTGTGTCCGGCGTGCTGGGGAGCAACGGGAAGCAAGGACCCCACTCTGGACAAGAGGACGAGCCAAGCAGACCCAAGGAGGATTAGAGCGAGGCACATACATTTCAGGGTCACGGGTGTAGAGGTGGCATTTAACCTCATGGGAGGGCATGTGCTGTCCCAGGTGTTTGGGGGCGGGAGTTGGTGCTGTGGCAGAGCAGGTTAAGCCGCCTGCAGCGCTGGCATCCCATATCGGTGGTAGTTTGAGTCCTGGCTGCTCCACTTCTGATCCAGCTGTCTGCTAATGAGCCTTGGAAAGCAGCAGAAGATGGCCCAAGTGCCTGGGTCCCTGCACCCATGTGGGAGACCAGGAAGAAGCTCCTGGCTTCTGGTTTTGGATCGACTCGGCTCCAGCCATTGCAGCCATTTGGGGCGTGAACCAGCAGAGGGAAGATACCTCTCTCTGTCTCTCTCTCTCTGCCTCTCTGTAACTCTGCCTTTCAAATAAAATAAATATTTTTTTTTTTTTGACAGGCAGAGTGGACAGTGAGAGAGATAGACAGAAAGGTTTTCCTTTCGCGTTGGTTCACCCTCCAATGGCCGCCACGGCCAGCGTGCTGCGGCCGGCGCACCACGATGATCCGATGGCAGGAGCCAGGTGCTTCTCCTGGTCTCCCATGGGGTGCAGGGCCCAAGCACTTGGGCCATCCTCCACTGCACTCCCTGGCCACGGCTGAGAGCTGGCCTGGAAGAGGGGCAACCAGGACAGAATCCGGCGTCCCGACCGGGACTAGAACCCGGTGTGCCGGCGCCGCAGGCGGAGGATTAGCCTAGTGAGCCGCGGCACAGGCCTTCAAATAAAATAAATCTTTAAAAAGAGAGACAGAGAGCACGAGTGCTCTGTTTGGACAAATTATTTAGCTGCTCTGACACCGACAGCACAATTCTCACTTAGAAATGGAGGTAAGAAAACCGTCTCTTCATGAGTCCACAAATGCGTTGGAGCAGGGGAGACGCCTAGCGCAAGCGCCGGTACCTATTATGCCCCGATGCACAACAAGGGCTTATTCTTACAGATGCTAGTAGTTCCTTCCTTGGAGGTCTTGAGCCTCCACTGCGTGCTGAGCCGTGCTTTGCACCCACCAGTTATCCGGCACACTGGAAGTTCAGCAGGACCACGGCAAAAGGAAAGACCAAGCCGGGTGAGGGGCGAAAGAGGGGGTGGGGTGGGAGCCCTGCGAAAGGGGGTGCTGGAGCAAGACCTGGGGGGGACAGGGGGCGGGACCAAGCCAGCATTGAGGGGGGAGGTTCCCGGGAGAGGGAACAGCCAATGCCAGGACCCCGAGGACGGGGGGAGCGTAGAGTGAAGGGTCGTGGACACGGTGGAGCGGTCGGTCCCCCAGCGTGGCTAACACAGGCCTCCGTCGCAGGAGGCAGGAGGTCCTCCACTATGGGACGCAGCTCTGCTCTGCCCCTAGTCGGAGACAGCCAAGCTCTCCAAGGCGGCAGCTTGGGGCAGGCCCTGGGCTCCCTCTCCCAGCCCTGCGTCCCAGCTCTGCCTCACCTGGCGGGGCAGGCTCACCAGGAGAGCGCCGCCTCCTCCCAGCCGAACTCGGCCGGGCCTTTGCTCCAGGGCTCCCAGTCGAAGCACACGTCCGAGTCATCCTCCTCGGAATCTGTGGAGGTAGGAGACAAGGCCTCTGGGCTGCTCACATCCTGTCTCCTTCCCCCACACCCACCCAAAAGGAGCCCCCTGCCAGGCCTGCCCTCGCCCCAGCAAGAACTGCAACCCACCAGCCAGCCCCGACCTCACAGGGACTCCTGGGCTTCTGAGAAGTGACTCAGAGACTCAGAGAGCGGCCCCTGCCGGGAGCACGTGACCACTGACTGTGTGGGGCCTGTCCAGGCCGGGCTGCTGGGGAGACGCAGGCCACCCATCCGTCCACGTGCTCACTAACCAAATGCCCTCGTCCACGTGCACAACGGTTGCCACTGCACATTCGGGCCACAGGACACTGGGCAGCCACGCATTTGTCCGTCACGGGACGCCTGCTCCACTGCACTGCGGCTCGTTCACGGCCAGGGCCCCTGGGCCAGCCGGCCAGCGGCAGCGTCTAAATCACTGCATGAGCCCCGTGCTGCTCAGCTCGCTGTCCCTGTGGTGTGGCAGAGGCACACTGCCAGGAAATGCAGCCAGCGGAGCCTTCGTGCCTTTTCTAGAAACAAACACTCCTTCCCCCAGCCGGTTTGATAATGGACACGTTATTAAGCACGGGGATGAGCTGGCGGGGGGGGGGGGGGGGGGGGGGGGCGGCTTTTGTGTCGTGTCCCCGGGGTCGCAGAGAAGCCAAAGAGGCTGAACAGAGCCTTCAGATTGCAGCAGGAGATAGAAAAGGCGAAGCCTCAACTTCCTCATCTGTTAAATGGGCATCACAACAGCGTCTTCCATGATGAGGGTTCACCGACGTTGACAGGGCCCAGCTGGGGGCTGAGTATGACTGGGACATCAGCAGGATGGCTCCCCCTCCCCTCCCCTTCCTCACCGGAGAGAGGCTTTATTTTTGTAACGTGTATTTTATGCTGCGTGCTCTACGTAGCTAAAGACTTCCTGATGGCAGTGACTGGTGGCTTCTGTGTTTTACAGATGAGGAAGGCTCCCGGAGAGAAAATGTCTTGTCCAGACTCACAGCCGGGACGTGGTGGTCCTGGGCTCCAGCCCCACCGGGTGCACGCGCCCTGGGGCCTTGGCTGGAGCCTGGACCTAGCTCAGGGCAGACGCAAGGCAGCTTGCGCCACTCCTCTGTTCCAGACGCAGGCCGCCTCTGCACGGCCGCCTTCTGTCTTCTGCAAATCCCTTTCAAGTTCCCCAAGGACAAAGTCCACAGCACCGCGTTTCCGTTGAAGGGGGTGTGGCTACGTCTTCGGTCCCCACGGCGTGGGCAGAGCTTAGCAGCGCCCCCAGTGGTGGCTTCCCCAGGAGCTGAGCTGCGCGTCGTCGCTTTGTGCCTCGGTGCCAGGCTGAGCGGGCGGCCTCCCTCCTCCTCCTCCTCCCTCCACGTGGGTCAGTGCCTCCGCTCCGCCTCCCCCACCTGGAGCGGCCCTGGTGAGCCAGAGAGGGCTGGGAGGGTGACGGCAGCCCTCGGAGCTGCTCCTGCCTGCTTTTCACCCTGGCTTCCAGGCCGAACTGGCTCCAACCACGGGGATCCAAAGCAGAATAGAAAACCACAGAGCTGAGCTGGTCCTGAGCGCCCAGCCCCCCAACCCCGTCCCTGCCAGTCCCCGGGGGAACGAGCTAACCACAGGCCACGAAACTGAGCGCTCCAAGAAGGACCGCGGGAGAGGCCCCCGTCTCACTTTAAGGAGGGCTTCGCTTCACTGCAAAGTTAACCCCGGGCCTTTATTGCAAAACAGCACGGGAGGTGTCAGTGGGGAGAGGGGCCGGGGAGGGGTGGGCTGTGGAGGGTTTTAGAGCAGGAGGATGGGTCGCAGTCCCACATTTCCGCCCACACGGACGAAACCGACCTTGGGTTGCTGCCAGGCCCGCAGGAGCCCACCTTGTGCCCCGACCATCGAGTACACGTCCAGCCCTGGCCCTCAGACGCCTCCCACAGCCCCGCGGGGCAGGTGCTGCTCCTCTCCCCAGGTTTCAGATGAGAAAACTTCAGAGAGCAGAGTCCCAGAGCCAGGACCGGAAGCCGGACATGGCTGTGGGACTCTGGGCAGGCCGCTTCACCCCGCCGAGCCTCTGTCTCCCCAGTTGTAAAATAACAGTGCATCGCAGGCGTCTTTTGAGGATTAAATAGGAGCTCCCACCCAAGGATTAGCACAGCGGCATGGTCAGTGTTCACGCAAGGCTAGCCATCACTGAGCGCCATCAAGGGACAGGGCTGAAATCCGGGCCTGGGTCTTCCAGGCCCACAGACGGCTGTCACAGCCACTGCATAGCCTTTCTCGCTCGCACCCTCGGCCTGGCTCCAGGCCTGCATCGTGTGCCCTCTGGGGACATGAGGAGGCGTCTCCTAGGAATGCCAGCAACGCCCAGTAATTACACAATCACCAGACCCACCACTGAGGTGGCTGAGCAGGGCGGGAGGGTCAGTGGGCACAGCGTCCTCTCCGCTTAGCTGGCCCAGGGTTGTGGAGCTGAGAAGGAGGAAGAGGCCCCAGGGAAGGGGATGCTCCGGGAGACAGGATGCCCTGGGAGCAGAAGTGCCATATGGCCAGGCCGGATCCAGGCCCGCCTGCCCCAGCTTCCCAGCCGGCCGGCTTTTAGCCCGCCCAGTGGTATGTGAGGTCAGGCCTCATCTCAGCTTCCAGCGCTGAGTCCCGGAGAAGCCCAGATCCTCTCTAATACAGTCTCTGGGCACCTGAAAGATGGCAAAGGGCCGTCCCATTGTGTAGGTTGTTCACTGCACAAATGCCCTCAGCTGAGGCAGTGAGCAGGGCTGACTCAGGCTCAGGAAGGGGCCCCCTTGTTTTTTTTTTGTTTGTTTGTTTTTTGTTTTTTGACAGGCAGAGTGGACAGTGAGAGAGACAGAGAGAAAGGTCTTCCCATTTATTTATTTATTTATTTTTGACAGGCAGAGTGGACAGTGAGAGAGAGAGAGACAGAGAGAAAGGTCTTCCTTTTGCCGTTGGTTCACCCTCCAATGGCCGGCGCACCGCGCTGATCCGATGGCAGGAGCCAGATACTTATCCTGGTCTCCCATGGGGTGCAGGGCCCAAGTACTTGGGCCATCCTCCACTGCACTCCCTGGCCACAGCAGAGAGCTGGCCTGGAAGAGGGGCAACCGGGACAGAATCCGGCGCCCCGACCGGGACTAGAACCCGGTGTGCCGGCACCACAAGGCGGAGGATTATCCTAGTGAGCCCCGGCGCCGGCTCCCCTTGTTCTAATCTGCTCACAGGGCTGATTCTTTCCAATGTCTATGAAAAGTCCTAGGTGCTAGTGGGGACCCTAAGGGGACACAGATGTGCCCACAAACATACTGCTTTACAGCCTCAGCGAGTCCACTCGTGGAGTCTAGGTTAAGAAACCCTAACCCATCATCAAACCAACCTTTCTCTTGTATGTTGACAGCTTGTGTCGAAGCCAGCACTTAAAGTGCTTGATCACAGGCAGGCGGTGTGGCACAGCAGGGTAAGCCACTGCTTGCGACACTGGAATCCCATATCAGAGCGCTGGTTCAAGTCCTGGCTGCTCCACTTCCGATCCAGCTCCCTGACCATGAGCTTGGGAAGGCAGCGGAAGATGGCCCAAGTACTTGGACCCCTCCACCCATGTGGGAGACCAGGATGGAGTTCCAGACTCCTGGCTTCTACCTGGCCCAGCCCTGGATGTTGTAGCCATTTGGAGATGAACCAGTGGATGCCAAGACCTCTCTCTCTCTCTCCCACTCCCTTCCTCTCTCGCTCTGGCTTTCAAATTAAAGAAAAAAAAATTTGTTGAAAGTGCCTGATTGGGACCGGCACCATGGCTGACTTGGTTAATCCTCTGCCTGTGGCTCCAGCATCCCATATGGGTGCCGGGTTCTTGTCCTGGTTGCTCCTCTTCCAGTCCAGCTCTGTGCTGTGGCCCGGGAGGGCAGTGGAGGATGGCCCAAGTGTTTGGGCCCTGCACCTGCTTGGGAGACCAGGAGGAAGCACCTGGCTCATGGCTTCGGATCAGCATAGCTCCAGCCGTGGTGGCCATTAGGGGATGAACCAACGGAAGGAAGACCTTTCTCTCTCTCTCTCTCACTGTCTAAAACTCTACCTCTCAAATAAAAACAAATAAATTAAAAATAAAGTGCCTGATCAAAACCTCTTCTTCTGTAGTTGTTTTAGGGCACCCTGGCCAATTCAGACCCCTACTCAGCCCCAGATTAGGCCCCAGCCCGAGCAGGGAAGATGCTCACCTTGGCTAAGTAAGAACCGTAGCCAGACGATCAGTAGGAACAACAGTAAACCCACGGGCAGGCAGAGCCAGAAAACCAGGAAAGAAAACGTGAGGTTGTTCACCAGTGGCACAAGGGGGTACTTCATGCTGCACGCGTGCCTGAGCCAGGCCAGCCGGGCTGGGGACCTGGCCGCTGGGCCCTGCTCTGCTCGCAGCCCCATTGTGATGCAGCAAGGACATCACAGTGTCCTCCAGGCAAAGCTTGCACCGGAGGGCTTCAGGGAGAGCGCTGTCGTGGGTGTGCTGGAGCCAGGCAGAGACTGGTGAGCTAAGAATAAAGGCCCAGGCTTCCAGGAGCAAAGCAGGCTCTGGGTCCCACAGCGCAGCAGCTATGGGGATGCTTCCATGATCCTCTATTAAAATATGAAAATATCCACGAGTCAGAACTATAGATGATGGGGCAAAAGTTACCCCCAGCGCAAAGGCACTTCAAGGGGCCGGCACCGTGGCTTAGCAGGTAAAGCCACACTGTCTGCAGTGCCAGCATCCCATATGAATGCCAGTTCGAGCCCCTGCTGCTCCACTTCCGATCCGGCTCCATGCAGATGGCTTGGGAAAAAGAGCGGAGGATGGCTCAGGAGCTTGGTCCCCTGCTGCCCACATTGGAGACCTGGAAGAAACTCCTGTCTCCTGCCTTTGGTCTGGCCCAGTGCTTGCTGACATGGCCATCTGGAGAGTGAACCAGTGAGTGAAGCGCCCTCTCCCTCTCTTTTTCTCTCTCTCTCCCTCTCTCTCCAACTCTGACTTTAAAATAAACAAGAGACAGGGAAGTACACACACAGATCTTCCATCTGCTGGTTCACTCCCCGGATGGCTGCAACAGCCCTGGGCTGGGCTAGGCTAAAGATAGGAACCAGGAGCTTCATCCAGGTCTTCACATGGGTTGCAGGGGCCCAAACGCTTGGGCCATTTCCTGCTGCATTTCCCAGGCCATTGGCGGGGAGCTGGATCAGAAGTGGAGCAGCCGGGACACAAACCAGCACTCATATGGGATGCTGGTGTTGGAGGTAGAGGCTTTACCGCCCCCTACACTTGCTTTAAATCCCATTTTCCATGAACTGAGGTCCCCTGCACGCATGATCTCGCGTATTTGTGATGGTACACAGCTTTGGGAGCCCGCCAGCTCCCCGCGTCCCCCCTGGCTCTAGCTACACATGCACACACCTACCTTTTGTGGGGTGGGGTGGGGGGCTATGGCAGGCTGATGGAACTTAAAAGTCTCTAAAGAGCTGGAGCAGCTCCAGCCAATATGGCTACGCCTGAAATTCACATCCTGTATTGCCAACTTCCCAACTTTTCCTAGAGTGCCCCAAAATCTGGACTTTGATGTGACATCTCCCAATTTAAAGTGTTGACCCAAACTCTGTTCTGGCGTTGTTGGATAAACAAAGCTCATCTGCTGGACTGGCTTGGGTCACCGAGATGTCATTTGAAAGCTTTCCAGGGGTGGGCACTGGGTGCAGTTGTTAAGCTAGGATGTCCACATCCCTTATCAGAGTACGTGGGTTTGAGGTCAGCTCTGCCCCCCTTCCAGCTTCCTGGTAATGTGCACCCTGGAAGCAGCAGATAATGGCTCAAGCACTTGGGGCTCCTGCTACCTACAGTGCTGGAGGGAGGGACTCTGACTAGGCTGGGATCCAGCTGGGTGTGGGGAGGTCAACACAAGCTGCTGTGTGCAGGATCCTTGGACCACTTGCCCCAGTCACTGCCAGCAGTGGGGTAGCTGTTTAATAAAACATGCCAGTCCCTAGGCTTGCCCTGATCTCGTTAGAACTTGGGTTGGGGCTTAGACTCAACACACTGAGCCCAGTGTGATTCTGGCGCAGGCAAAATCAGGCAGGTCCAGTTCCAGGCTTGGGGAACGGCTGCAGGTGGACCTAGAAGTGGGGAGACTTGGGGTAGGAGTTTCTCCTGCTAGGAAGACACCGGTCCACGGAACCAGCCAGGAGGGGCCAGAAGGCTGTGGCTTTGAGGGCCAATGGTCTAGAGGAGTCTTAGCCTACTGTGGGATGGCCGGAGCCCCCCCAAATGGGAGGAAAAACTGGCATTAGAATGGGCATCCAAGAACAGCAGTGCCCTTGTGAGCTGTGCCAAATACACAGTCCAGAGGCCAAGACCAGTGGCAGGTGGATGAGGTTGGGGGTGACTTCTTGGTTCTGGGTCCTGAAGGGCCTGCGGTCACAGTTGACGAGCACAGGTAGGCAAGGTGTAACTCTTTTCTGGCTATGAAAGTTTTCTGAAAATCACAACAGGCCATTGTGCAGTCAGCTTCCCTGGCCAGCAGGCCCAGCTGGAGGTCCTGAGCGAGCAGGCTGTGCAGGTGTGGACACCCACTGCAGGGTGGCAGCTCCCAGGCCCAGTTTGGGGGCCAGCACAGAGTTGCCCGGCTGAAAGGCCAGCTCTTGGCAGAGGCGTGCACCACAATGGCTCCTGGTACAGCTCCAAGTGATCTGCCCCAGGGATGGAGCACTCATCTGGCCCACGGAACCCCTCGCCCACCCTACACAGAGGGGCAGTGGGTAACTTCCTCTGCACCCCCTCTCCCCAGACTGCCCAGCCCCGGCAGAGCTCAGCAGAGGCCGGCCAGCCAGCCTTTCCTTCCTCCCTGTGACACAGCCAGCCACGGGGCCCCTTGAGGGACCTCTCCTACTGGCTTCTCCCAGCACAGGCGGCCAGTACTCTGCTCTGAAAACCAAGTGCATTCTGAGTACTTCATGAAACTCCCCAGAGCCAGGTGACGTCCACACATCTAGGTCATGGAGTGTCCGTGAGTGACTTAAGGGCACTCATGCAGGAGTCAACCGCCCAGCCTGTAAGCAAAAGTGCACGCCAGCTCTTAGATAAGAATCTCCTTAAAATTTAATTGACTAAATGTGTTACATTCAATATTCCATGGGGTTTTTCTGGACCAAGGATGGGCATAAATACAAACACACCTCTGGACCTTCTTCCCTAACTGACGAAGATCAAACACAGGAGGCGAGGGGCGTGGGGCGCCGTCGTATTTACAGTTTGCCTTTACAGTTCAGTGCCAGAAATATTTACAGAAAATACAATAGGAAAAGATCATGTCTTGGCAACACACCGAAATTCATACAAACTGTATATAGGATTTCAAGCAAATCATGATACTGCTTATTTTTAGCCACAACTGCCAAGCCCTTCAGAGGAGAAAGATGTCTTGGTCACTGCAAGAGGACTTGGGAAACTTGGTTTTGTTTCAACAAGTATTTATTGGGCGCCTACTATATGCAAGGCACTGTGGAATCCCAAATTACACCTCTTCCCTTGCCACTAAAGAAAGAAGTGTGTCTGAAGAGCATGAGCTGACATTCTGAGACCAACAGTCCACAGTCCACAGCTTCTTTAGCTACTGAGAAACCCAGCTTGATCCCACACTGCGTGGCGGGCTCACCCCCAGTCTCCAGCTCAGCAGACCACCTGCCCCCAGGGAGCCTTTCATCCATTCCCGTTCGCAAGCTATCCCCTGAATGGTCTTAAAATGCTGAATGGAGACTCGAGGGCAGCAGAAGCGTCCAATCACGTCTCACGTGTTCCCCGCGCACCACGGGACGCGTTATTGAGTTCCACCCGGCACAAGAAGCGGAGGTGCAACGTCAGCTCTTGAAGGCAGTGCCTCTCTAGAACTCAGTCTGCGGACGCTGGCCAATGCGCCCCATCTAGGCGGAAGGAACCATTCACAAAGGCCTCCCATGTACCGTCTGTGGGTGACTGACACTCCTGGCGAAGGTGTAGGGACTTTTCGCTTCTAAGTGAGTCCAGAAGGGAATGGGCTGCCCTGCAGTAAGAGGAGCTGGGGCTGGAGGAAAATGCTCGTGCGTGTGTATGTGTACGTGCACGTGTGTGTCACAGCCAGAGAAGGGAGGCGGTCAACTCACCACATAATCCTGCCTCTCAAAGGGTGCAAGGACAGAGGAAGACTAGGCCGGGAGCTCTGGACAAAAGGAAGAGCTGGCTAAACAAGGAAAGGGTTACGAAGGCCTCCTCACAGTTCCCAGGGCTAGCAGTCAAAGGAAAACCCCACCCCCACTAATGAAAAGGGGAACAGGAGGGATGCCCCCTCTCCCCATCCCCCAGCCCAGGTAGCAACCCAACTGTTTAAGTCACAGACCAAGTGATCCCGCCTTCCCCTCAAAGGCTAATGAGCATTTGCTGGCCAAACTGTCAAGCAGATACTAAAGATTATTAGGAACTAAATATGTTCTTCCAGCATTGCTTTCTTCAAGATGACTTGCAACACAAGCAGCTGGGGAACTGAGTGACCAAGGACTTACACCCACACTGGGGAAAAGCTTCAAGGGTCTCATCATACTCCCTTTTGGGGTAGGCATATCTGAGAAGGAACCGGTGCCTGGCGAGGTATGCGAATGTCACACTCCACTGCGGGGTTCGTGCCTTCACGAGCCGCACAGCCCTCCTTCCCTGGAAGACCACAGTCTCCCAGATCACTACCTACTTTCAGTGTAGTTCTTCACTTCTCCAAGGGCTAACTGAACAATCAGGAAGCCCATCCCCAACACACACATATTGTACATTTTTCTGACATCAAACCTATGCCAAAGGTGAAAGTTTCATCCAAAGAATCACACTGAGCAAGTCTATCTACATCAGTTATCTTTAACCTCTGGAATGTTCTAAGTTGCACATCAATTTACAGCCGTCTTCGTTCACTCCAACTGGAACAAGGGCTCATTTCCCCCTTGAAACGTCAACCTGGAATGTCTGGGAGGTCAACTCTCCTTATTCCTGCTGAGCCATGAGAACCCTTGTAGGGCAAAGCTCACCCATCTTTATCAGACATCCTCTCCCACGCTACCATCTGCAAACGTCCATTTATTGCCGAGCGGGGAATCGATTACTGAGTGATATTATACCCTGAATGGAAACTAAGTCACAGGAGGAGGAGGAGCAGAGGGTTATCTTTACCTGAGCTTAAAACAAACATGAAGAGTAGGGTGTGGCAAACTTAAAAGCAAGAGTTGCTACGCCCACATTTCTTGCTCACACAGGAAGATACAGACTTCTGGAAGAGAGATTTGCACAGGGAATCAGGTCCTACACTAGTTCCCATCCCTAAGTAAACTACCAAAACAACAAACCGGACTATTACAGCTCTCATCTACAGAATCTACTGACATCGGAGTTCAAGTAGGAAAACATCCCTTAAACAGCTCCAATCACTTCGCTTTGGACTTCAGTGTCACTTGATTTCTTAACATAAAAGAATTTTACTAAAGAAGAAAGCACATAAGACCAGGAGA